TCTCTCTCTCTCTCTCTCTCTCTCTCTCTCTCTCTCTCTCTCTCTCTCTCTCTCTCTCTCTCTCTCTCTCTCTCTCTCTCTCTCATTCATTTCTGAAGATTAGTTCACTTTGATTAGGTTTCATTTGAATAGCCTGCATACCTTAATTTTTGTATGTAGTCATTATTAACAACAAGCATCATTCTTAGTGTCACTATTCATCAGTACCACAACAGTAACTCACTGATGCTGGGAGGGAATGTATGCATGCCTGTCCACTCTGATTGTAGTTGATTCATCTTATTTACACAAAGATGGCTCCAGAAATGCTTAGTCACCAAGGAGCCCAGCCTAGCTAATTTTAGCTGTTCATCCTGTTTCTTCTTTTTTTCTTGGGTTTACATTTAGTATTGTTATAATGATAATAATATATAATTATAATGATAATGACATTAGTAATTTTTTTTTAAAGCTTAATTCTTATTTACAGGTTCTATCTTCCCCCATAAGATTATCATGCCAATGACTCCCTTTTTTATTCTTTTCAAATCTGAATTCACATTTTTGCTGCCTTTGTATTCTATTTCTTTCTATCCAAGTTCCAGTAGACTTTCTTGAGACCCCTGTTTGAATTTGTTTGAGTACCTCACAAGCTAGTGCCATATGCATAAAAAAAAAACTTTCACAAGGATGTCACTTGACCAGGTAATGTTTCTAGACACTATGTATGGTTATATTTATGTGTCTTGATGTTACTTATTTATTCAACAGGAAGAGATATCCAGCTCACCCCAAAACACCAGTGCTTTCCTCATACAACTGCAGCATTCTGTACAAGAAGGAAACTATACACCTGATCAGGTTTTCATTGTGAGCAAGACCGGCCTCTTTTGGAAACGTCTCCCTGGCCAGACATTTATTAGTAAGAAAGAGGAGTTATCTTCAGGCTTTAAGGCCAGAAATGACCGATTCTCCCTTCTGCTATGTGCAAATGCTTCAGGGGACTCGAGACTAAAACCTTTCCTGGTCTATCACGCTTGTAAGCTAAAGGATCTGAAGATATCATCATTCCAGATGTTGCCTGTCCACTGGAGGTACAACAGAAGAGCTTCTTTGACAGCCGTTTTGTTCGAAGACTGGTTTGCCAACTGTGCCATCCCAGAAATTTTAGCTTACTGTAAGCAGAAAAACATTGAGGAAAGGGCCCTGATACTAGTTGATAGTGTTATTGGTCAATCTGACATGGTCAATGAAATTCATCCACATATAAAGGTTATATTCATATCAAGTGATATGTCTCCTTCCATAGAGCCTCCAGATCATTTTGCCATTACTCAGTTTCTACAGCTCTACACCAAGAGCCTCCTACAAAATATGCTCATCTTCACAGAAGGTGGGGATGAAAGTCAGGTTGAGGACTTTTTGAAATCTTATAGCATCAAGGAGGCACTCTTTACCATCAGAGACAGCTGGACAGCCATTAAGAATCCATTTCTCAACAAATTCTGGAGCAATGTTTGGCCTGATGAGACTCAAAATTTCACTGGACACCCTAATGCATCGAGGGAAATTCAAGAGATTCAAGATCTTGCAAACAGAATTCCAGGTCAAGGTTTTACAGACATCACTGTTGACGACATTCACAAGCACCTAGAATCACTTCAGGAAGAGTTATCAACAGAGGAGTTGGCACAGATGACCAAAGCAACTGAAGGAGATGATGATGACCAGCAGGATACTCCAAAATGTTCTGTGCCACCAACATCAGAGTTGGAGAGCATTGTGAAGTTGCTCTACAAAACCGAAAGAAAAATTATAGAGACTGAATGGAACCCTAAGAGACTAGAACAAAGTTTGCCTCATCTCAGTAGTATAAGGGCTATGTATATAGATATATTAAAGACAAGGAAGAAGAGGTAATCTCAATTTTAGGTTTAGAAAATTGTATTTATTATTATAGATATTCTCTATAAGGTTGAAATATGGAAGTATTGTATAATGAATTTATAATGCATTTTCCATACAAATCACAGGACTACTTATTTTGTATATGTAGATAAAGACATATTTATTTTTTCACATATATTTCATTCACCAACTGCATTTCGTAATACATGCATTGTAAGGCTAATCATATGTTAGTACCAAATAAAAGGGGACAGATAAGGCAAAACTATTGTATGTAATGTCATAGATGTAAATTTGATATAATAACTATAAATATAAATGATAACTACAAGAATGGACCATGCTTACTGATAAACTTTTCTGCTGTTAAATGATATGCATAGGGAGAAAACTCAAATATTAAACTGCTGTAGTATATTTTGATTGAAAAAACACTAGATACCCAAATCAGAAAATAGCTTTGGCATGTACGACAATCCATGCAAATCACATGCAGTTATCCTCCTATGAGCAAGAAAAGAAAAACTGAAGGATTAATAATTGACTTTGGAATTTTCAAGTGGAAAAAGATGTACAAGTAGGAAGAGCAGTAACAGTAAATAAATTGGGATAGAAGATTATAACTTTTATAAACTAAAATTGAAGAAAAGAGTGCTATTGGTAAACAAGTAATTACATAATACAAAGAGATCTACCATTTTAGAATTCATAAATGAATTGATTATAACCAGTAGAGCTTAAAGATATGTACAAAATGGCACAGGAAAATTTTAGTCTTAAATCTTTCTTAATAAAAGATTAGAAGAAAATTCCCCAATCCCTTGCTGTGGGGGGGGTCACCTTCCCTTGGATCTCAGCCCTTGCCTGAACTAATGTAGCATGGTATTTTCTTCACCCTCTTTCTCTTTCCTTCTTTTTTTATCCCATTCTGTCCACTTATCCTAATAGTTACCTCATTTTTACCTTTTTGGCACAGAACTTTTTCATAATGTTGTATGACCTTTGTCAAGCACTTTTTTTTTTTTTTTTTTTTTTTTTTTTTTTTTTTTTTTTTTACCATTAGCCATTCTGGAAATCCACAAACATCACCTTATGAACCAAAAATATTCCATATTTAGGGGCTTTGCCTCAAAGCATTACCCAACTGCTGTATTTTGATTACGTTGCTAATGACCTTAGACATTGACACGGCAGAAAATTTTCAATAGATAAATAAATTAGAAAAAAATGCATCTAACACAAAAGAGACAAGTAATTACATAACTTCACTTATATTTTAGTAAGATTAAGGTCCTCCATGATCACAGTCACTAGTATGTAAGTGAACTTGATGAAATCCCATAGTTCATACTATCAGGCTCTGTCAGCAGAAATCTAGCTTGTGAACGAATGTGATTCTGTCAAAAAAAAAAGTCCCTGGTTACTGATACGCCATGCAGATTGTGAGACTGTCTATCACTCCTGTCTTGCGCACCTTTGGGAGTTTTACTCTCCTCTGGGAACCATTCCAACATGCATACACACGACTCACTCACACTCTTGGGCTGTACTGTTGACATAGGTCATGTAACATAATCACATGCATCTATACTGTTTATTAAGCAGTATAGGCCACGTGGCAGTTCGTTAGCCATGTGGGTATACCCACTCCGCACTGCCTGTCGGGGGTCCCTTATGTCCCCCGCCAGGGCTGACCACCGGCCTTCCCATTGACCGCACTTGTTCCCAAGATTATATCATTCCCAAGTGTGTGTGTGTTAATATCTGTGTGCTTACCTCTTGCAGAATAAAGAGTCTCAAGCCACCAAGCTTTTACTACCCTTGTTCACCAATGTATAAGTGGTTCAATATATACCCTTTACAGCATCCACACATGCACACTTGAAGAGATTATAGGGAAATTCCATGACCTTCAAATCTGTCTGAGCTACCTTATTCGGCAAATCAACCAAAGCTATCAAGCCTCGCGAAGTTTACATTGGGGTCGAGCTAATCCTTGACAACTCCGATACTACAGGTTTTTGAATATGTAGTGTTATAACATCCATTCCACACCTATCCAACCTGGGCAAGTTCCCTAATGACAGCCCCAAAAGATGGGCTTAACCTGCTACCCAAAACCTGGAACACCACATTCACCATACTTTGAGTCAACAGCTTAGGAGATATGTGATTCATGAGCCCAATGAATCTCTAAGGGTTCTAAGTGATCCAGCTTTTCCTTTATCTGAACCTCCCATCTTACTGTATCATTCCTTTGAATCGCCTCAATTGATAGGTCCCTTAAGTGAGAATCAAGCTTGGATATCTCCTAAGTGGTTACATTCAGAGTATCTATCATACCTGAAAGTACACTTACCTGTTTCTGTAGCAATAGTCTCCTTACATAATCTTTTTACTTCAGCTTCACTGCAATCATCCATTACTCCAAGAAGAGAATGTAAGAACCGACCCACACCATCAAGTGGACTTCGGCTACTCTCGATTTGGCGGTACACAACTTATTTTGATGTACTCCACTCAAGACTTGTTGCTAAACATTCCTAACTGATGGATTTGTTATCTCGGTAGTCGCAGAATGTTCATCCTCTCGATCCCATCAGCTACTGAGGAAACTTCTTCCTGGCACCTGGTATGGACTTCTGTCTACCATAACGATCCCCTGGAGTTGATCTAGCATCTGGACTAGGCATCAATACCCCGGACGTAATCTTCAAGTCTTGGTGCTGGATGATTCACCATTGATGGCCCACAGCGAGCACCATCCAATACATCCTCATCATGGCTAAGCCGGGCTATACACAGTACCAGTCACAACACTGTAATCCAAAACAATTCTAGCATGAATATAATGTCCAAAATCAATAATTAGTGCTTTATGTGTGATTGTGTCTGTATTGTTTATGTCGCTGTAGTTAATCCCTGTCCTCATACTTCAGTTACTTTACTTTAGACCAGATCTCCTCAGATATGTGGTTGGTCATTGTCAGCCCATCATTCTGCTGGTATTTTAGCATCCCTGCCAAACACTAATTTCCGCATGGTGGGCGGAGTTTAGGGCCAGTTGTGTCATAGACAAATGCCAATTCCAGTATTCCTCTTTTCCCTCCACCAAACCTCGGGAGTATGGCCAGTACTTGTTGGTTGGTCCTCTCTCAGAGCCCATTTGACGCTAGATGGTAGATGACACTAGAGGGTTTCTGCTATACATTTGAGCAATTTATTCCTTTAAATCTCGTCCTTGATCCATTAGAGAAGTTTCTGGGACCCCACATTCGCAGAAAATGGTAAACATACACTCTGCTACTACGGTTTTATCGTGTAGTGGTTCTAGTGAGGTAATCCACCATCACTAGCATCCCTCTCTTCATGAAGGGAATTAGTCCCACCATCTGGAAAGCTTCCAGTGGTACTGGGCCTCTGGTACCTCTTCCCATGAACTTTTGACTAGTATGGTATCGCCTATGATATGAGGCTATGTCCATACCCATTTCTCGCCAGGTAAAAAACCTCTTGGTTCGGAATCTGGTCCTCTCTTCTGCCCCATGTCCTAACAATAGTGCTTAGTGTACAAGTGCCAATGCTTTCAGTACCAAGTTCCACGGCACACATAGTTCAGATGCAACTTCTTACAATCGATGTCTTCCTTGGTGAGGGGGTATCTGATTAATGGGCCATATAAAGGATCTTGGCGTTGCTCCCTGATCATGTCTTGGATTGACCACGGTGGGCTTGGGGCTTTGGTCATCAAACACATAGCAGTGGTGGGAGAATGCCTTTCCTGCAATGATGAAGGTCATCTCAGCCTCACTTAATGCTTTCACTGGTTCTGTCGTAAGTATCCTGTTCACAATGACATTTCGTGGCAAAAGCGGTAAAGGAAGGATCCTTGGATCATCTGTACCCTTCGCACACTGCTCGAGAGATTCGTCCTGAAGCCTTTGGGCGCCTCGAAGACACTGGCTCCAGTGTCTCTCCTCCTGGGAGAGATTAGCTAAGACTAAGACTTCGGCCACAAGACGGGGTGGACTCCCATAATTTGAGCAATCCGTTTAGCGTTGCCCTCTTCTAGATCAGTGAAACTACAGGCGAAATGGACCTTGTCCAAGTCGTCTGTGACACCTTGATGCTGGATCTCCAATTCGATCCTCGCGATCCTTCTTTGCTCTTCTCCTCGGCCATATATTCCTTCATTTGCAGGATGACCGCCTTAACCTATGCCATCTCACTCCGGAGTTCCTCTATTATTTCTCCCTTACCAACAAAGGTTAGAAACCAGGGGTTGTCTGCCAATACCTGAGTGAACTGTTCGGAGTGCTTTTGGTAATCTGTTGTGTTGTGGTGGTTAGGAACACTTCGTCCTTCTGATCTTCCCCTACAGCGCCTTCGACGTTTCTGTCCGTATATCTGTGGAAATTAAGCTCTTCAGTATTGCTACTAATGTTTCCAATGCCCTTCACATGGCCAACCTCTGCTCCATTACATGTATTTTATTTGTTAAGGCGCACTGTTACGTAATTATCAGACTCACTCTTCACATATAAAACACACAGAAATATACCGACATGTGGTAATGTAATAATCATATTTTCCATAAACTATGAGTCTTATATTAAAAGAAGTTATAAGTGGAATGGTTGGGTTATGTCCTATGGTTCATATAGATTAATGGAAAATTTACAGTCAGTTTTCATAATAATTCATAAATACTAAATATTATTTTACTCAATGTATAAAAGTAAACTGGACAACAAAACAAAATAGGAAGTTTATGAAAGTAGGGTTGGTCTATAGACTCATGCGACTCGATGCCTCGGACTGCCGCTACCGCTCCCCCTCCACACTGACTCCCGCCTCTCGCCGCCATGTGAGAACCCTACGCTCCGTGCAACACGTCATCGTGCACTCACGAACTAATACACATAACCCTGTTCCTACGGGCGATTGCATGTATTTACTTAGACTAAGAAAGGATAGAATATCTAAGTCACTTTTCACTACAAACCATCGCGACGCTGCCACCATCTTTTACACTCGGTACTGGTTTTTTACTTATACTTGTACCTCTCTCCAGTGTCACTGTTCTTTGAGTCAAAATTATATAAGTACACTTAAATGAACTCCCATAGTTCATACTATCAGGTTTTATCAACAGAAATCGGTTATATAAGCATTTTATATATGTCGCTATAACTCATTATCCATTTTTTCTGACTCTTAGGCTCTTAGGAGTAGGTTATTTAGTTTGTAAAGTGAACAAACGCCTTGCCTAAATGTGTATGGGCAGTGTGTTTCTGTTAAGTACTTCCCTGATTACTGATACTCCATAAAGATTGTGAGTGCAACCATGTTCAGTGTAGGGAAAGACCTATTGCGTATAAGGAAGATGTAGGAAACACTCATACATAACACTATTTATTATTTAACTCTGATTACATTTTAGTAAGATTATGGCTCTCCTCCTCGATCAATGTCCTTTGACCACGTAAATGGTCAAACTTTTATGTCCGTCCTGTACTGTGCTAGAGACGTGGGTATCCTCGGTCAGCTGAGGTCAGCAGTTTATGGCTTTCCTTGGCCCTGGAGCTGGTATAGGATTCGCACCCTAATGCCCGAGTCTAGTATATATCCCCCCACAGGACTCTTAAAGGAACTTTCCTGGCACGCTGCTCTCACGCCCCTATTTACGTGACTCTCTACGTGACTCCTATGGTACACGTATGTTTTTTTTAGTATTTGTTTGTCACTGATTCCGGCCTGTAACACTCTCTCTCTCTCTCTCTCTCTCTCTCTCTCTCTCTCTCTCTCTCTCTCTCTCTCTCTCTCTCTCTCTCTCTCTCTCTCTCTCTCTCTCTCTCTCTCTCTCTCTCTCTCTTTCTCTCTCTCTCTCTCGGTGTGTGTATGTGAGCGTGTGTCTGTATGAACGCCTCTTCTCCCACTTTTGACGTCCGGTCTCATTCTTAACAGATGTTCTTTTCGTAACATTAGCAAAGGCGGAAATAGGACACGTCCCGTCCAGCTGGTCACATGATTAAACACGTGAGATATCTTGACATCAGTACTGCTCAAAGAAAAGAAACCAAAAATCGAATCTTCTTTTCGGTTCTGATGAGACCATAACGTTTTTTTTTTTCATGGTTCAATCACAAGTATTATGCATACGATGGTGTAAACTTTAGCCTTCATTAATACCATTGCACATCTGCCCATCAGAGAGCAGCACCTGCGCATCGAGAAACCAAGACATCGTTAGTGTTGAACGGACTTCGGAAGAGGCAAGATGTTCTTCGCTGGAGTTTCTTCCTTTCGGCTTCTGTTAGTGGCCGCGTTGCCACTGATGGTAGGGAGTTGTGTTGTTACTTTTTTTTATTATTGTTTCATGTTGTTTCATTGTTGTTATTCTTCATATAGTTGTTAACAGCACTTAGATTATTATTATCATTGGTGTTTGCGTTGTTATCACCGTTGTTATTATTGATGTTGTTATTAGAAGCATTACTATGCTGTTCAGTGTCATTACTGCAATAGCTCTGCTTCACTGTCATTAATGCAGTCATCAGCATAACTGTGGTTATTATTATTATTATTATTATTATTATTATTATTATTATTATTATTGTTATTATTATTATTATTATTATTGGTATCATTATTATTGTTATAATTATTATCATTATTATCATCATTATTATTATCAATATTAATAATATTATTATCTTATTATCATTATTATTATTATTATTATTATTATTATTATTATTATTATTATTGTTATTATTATTATTATTGTTGTTGTTATTATAATTATTATTATTATTATTATTATTATTATTATCATTATCATTATCATTATCATTATCATTATCATTATCATTATCATTATTATCATTATCATTATCATTATCATTATCATTATCATTATTATTATTATTATTATTATTATTATTATTATTATTATTATTATTGTTATTATTATCATCATTAGTTTTATTAATATCATTATTATTACCATTATCATTATCATTATCATTACTATTATCATTATGATCACTATTACCATTACCACTAATATTATTACTATTATCATTATTTTTTATCATTATTATCATCATCATCATCACCACCATCCTTCTTATGAACATCCTGATTATCATTGCTATTAACATAATTAGAAAAGAAAATACTGCACACAAAATACGTTTCCTGAATGACGTAATTGCATCACCACGTACATTGTATTGTTATTAACGTTACTGTTGTTGGTGGTGTCATTTTTATCGTAAGGTTGCTATTGTCATTAATGTTGTTTTTGTTATGATCATGGTGATGGTGTTGTTGTTATTATTGTTATTATTATTGTCATCAATATCATTATCATTATTGTTATTATTATTATTTCTATTGTTGTTGTTATTATTATTATTATTATTAATACTATTATTATTATTATTATTATTATTATTATTATTATTGTTGTTATTATTATTATTATTATTATTATTATTATTATTATTATTATTATTATTATCATTATTATTACTATTTTTATTATTATCATTGCTGTTGTTGTTGCTGTTATTACTATTATTATTACTATTATTATTATTATTATTATTATTATTATTATTATTATTATTATTATTATTATCATTACTATTATCATTATTATTGTTATTATTGTTATTATTATTATCATCATCATTATTATTATTATTGTTATTTTTATTATCATTATTATTATTTTTATTATTATTATTATTATTGTTATTATTATTATTATTATTATTATTATTATTATTATTATTATTATTATTATTATTATTATTATTATTATTATTATTATTATTATTACTATTATTGTTATTGTTGTTGTCATTATTATTATTGCTATTATTATTGTTGTTATTATTATTATCATTACCTTTATCATTATCTTTATTATCATTATTACCATTACCATTATTATTATTATTATTGGTAGTAGTAGTAGTAATACCATTATCATTAATATAAATCTCATTATTATTATAATTATCTTCATTGTTATTATTATTATGGTTATTATTGCCATAATTGTTATCATTATCATCGTTGTTATTATTTAATTATTGCC